GTATTTTTAGTAGAGATGGGGCTTCACCATGTTGCCCGTTGGTCTCAAACTCCTGACCTCAAGCGATCCTCCCACCTCAGCCTCCCAAAGTGCTGGGATTATGGCGTGAGTCACTGTGCCTGGCCATACATTTTTTAAAATATGTATTTTGTTCCAGCAATTCCAACCTTGATGAGACTTATCAAGACAAAAGCACCAGTATATAAAACAAAGCATATTCACAAGGATGTTTATAGTATTATTGCTCACAATAGTAAAACACTGAACACAAACTGCAATTCAATTCTGACAAACAAGGTAGAGAGGCTCTTGCTCTATCAGATATCTACACATAGTACCAAAAGAATAAAGACTGGTATTCATAGAGAAAAAGCATGATACAATAGACTAAGGGACCTTGCAATAAACCCATGCACACGTGGAAATTAAATACATTACAAATTAGTAATAAACAGACTATTCAATAAGTAGCATTCAGACAACCAGTTACTCATTTTGAAAAAAGAAAACGGGATCTCTTTCATCACGCTGAACAGCAAAATCAATTTCAGGTAGATTAAAGTCCTAAACATGGAAAAGCTTTTAGAAGACTGTATTCAAGAACTGAACATGACCACAGGGTGGAGAAGAATTTCTTCAATTTAAAAATAGTAGAGAACATAAAGAAATAGATGAATATGCTTGACATTAAAAGTGACAATTTTTGTCCACCAAAATCTGTAATCAAAAAAAGAAGAAATACCACAGACTGAGATGAAAATACTGTACTTACAATTCATATAACTGACAAAAGAATTTGAAGTCAGATTAGATAAATCTGGCCAGGTGCAGTGGCTCACACCTATAATCACTGGACTCTGGGAGGCTGAGATGGGAGGATCACCTGAAGCCAAGAGTTCAAGACTAGCCTGGGCAACACAGCGAGACCTCATCTCTATAAAAAATAAAATATTTTTATAAAGAAAAAGAAAAAGAGCCCGTAGATCAATACACAAAAGGAAAAAAAAAATCTCGATTAAAAAAAGACACAAAGGACCTGCACAGGCAATTCATAGATGACATACTGGAATATGCACTTAAAAAAGTGAACAGATGCATAACCTCAACAGTGAGAGAGAAATTACAATAATGACATGACATAATTCACATTATTTTGGCAAAAGGCTTAATGTCTACCGACCTTACAGGTTGGCAAGAAGGTGGCACAATATGAAACAGTATTTGATGCGGAGAAATCCTAAGGTAGTATATTCACTTTGGAGAATCATTTGGCAATATCTAGTAGAGCTGAATTACTGTAATACACTACAACACAGAAATCCCACTTCTGGGTAAATGGGCTAACCCAGAAACACTCTTGACGATGTATCTAAGGATGAAGTTTTATAACACAAAATAATAACTAGTTTAGGAATATAGACAGAAGCACTGAAAGTACATTATAGGAAAGATAAATACCAAGTTCAGGATGTGGGGAAGAGAGAAGAAAATGATCAGAGAGAGTAAACAGGTAACTATATTGACGGCTTATTTCTAAAGCTGGTTAATGGGTGCAAAGGAATCCTTTATACCTTTTTGTAAGCCTCACTGATCTCAAAACAACCTTTTTTTATTTTTATTTTTTTTTTTGAGTCAGGGTCTTGCTTTGTCGCCCAGGCCAGAATGCAGCCTCCCAAGTGGCTGGGACCAGAGGTGTGTATCATCACGTCTGGCTTAATTAATTTATTTTTTGTTGATATGGGGTCTCTCTACACCGTTCAGACTGGTCTCAAACCTCAGGGCTCAAGCCATTCTCTTGCCTTGGCATCCCAATGTGTTCAGTGGGAGATTACAGGACTGAGTCACAGCACCCAACCTGAAAACAAACTTAAAAAAAAAATTTACTTCTTAATATAAAACTAAGTTACTTTCTAAAGTTCTTTTTGCTTAAAATATGAAGAGTAACTATTAATTAAATCTCAACGTAGTAAGGTAAAGGTGACCCAGAAAAGAAAAGATGCCATTTAGCTCTCTTCTAGCTAGTCAGCATGACATGTTATAATGAAAAATTAAAATGAGACATGAAGAGCTAATTCAAGGAGGCAGAAGTCATTTTTCAAAAATAGAAAGTAGGCTGGGCACGGTGGCTCACACCTGGTGGCTCCCAGCAATTTGGGAGGTTGAGGTGAGTGGATCACTTGAGGCCAGGAGTTCAAGACCAGCCTGACCAACATGGTGAAACCCCATCTCTACTGAAAATACAAAAATTAGCCCAGCATGGGGGTGCACACCTGTAGTCCCAGCTACTCAGGAGGCTGAGGCACGAGAATTGCTTGAACCTGGGAGGCAGAGGTTGCAGTGAGCCGAGATCACACCACTACACTCCAGCCTGGGTGGCAGAGCAAGATTCCATCAGAAAAAAAAAAGTAGAAAGTAAAATTAATATAACCAATATCTTTCAAATCTTCACTGTGTTCTTACTCTATCATGTACTCTGAATAAGCCACCATATTGAATTTCATGCTTATCAATATTCCACCTTTAGTTTTACTAAATGTCTGTATTTCCAACACTGCATTGTTTAGTTTTGCATATATTTAAATTTTATGTAAATGAAATACATGTATTCTCTTCTTTGACTTGCCTTTTTAGATGAACATTATGTTTTTGAGATTCATCCATGTGGTTATAGATCTCAGAGAGATAAGTAGGGATGACATCACCTAGGGCCTGGTAGCCAGGGCAAGAACTTAAGGTTTTTCTGGGAATGCAACTGGGGAGCTATTGGAGGAATTTTGTTTGTTTTTGTTTTTGAGACAGGCTGGAGTGTAGTGGTATGATCGTATGATCATGGCTCACTGCAGCCTCGACCTCCCAGGCTCAAGCAATCTTTCTGCCTTAGCTTCCTGAGTAGCTGGGACCACAGGTGCATGCCACCATGACCAGCTAATTTTTTTTTTTTTTTCTTTTTGAGACAGTCTCACTTTGTCGCCCAGGCTGGAGTACAGTAGGGCAATCTTGACTCACTGCAACCTCTGCCTCCTGGTTCAAGAGATTCTCATGCCTCTGCCTCCCGAGTAGCTGGGACTAAACAGGCATGTGCCACTGTACCTGGTTTAGTTTATATTTTTAGTAGAGATGGGGTTTCACCATATTAGCCAGGCTAGTCTTGAACTCCTGGCCTCAAGTGATCCATCCACCTTGGCCTATGAAAGTGCTGGAATTACAGGTTTGGGCCACCGAGCCTGGCCCCAGATAATTTATTTTTATATTTTGTAGAGACAGGGTCTTCCCCTCTATTACCCAGGCTGGCTTTGAACCTTGAGCTCAGGATGATCCTCCTGCCTCAGCTTCCCAAAGTGTTGGGATTACCAGTGTGAGCCATGGTTCCTGGCCCTATTAGAGGATTGAGCGAAAGTTGATTTGACTTGCAATGTAAAAGCATCCATCACACCACTATGGTGTTAGGAAGAGATTAGGAGGGAAGAGTAGAAGCAAGAAGACCCCTTAAGGGGCTACTATAGGTAATCCAAATAAGAGAAGATGGTATTAGGAGTAGAGATGGTAAAAAATGGTAAGATTTGGAAACATTCTGAGAGTAGAGATTTCAAAGGGTTCCTGACAATTTGAATGAGTATAAGAGAAGAGAGGGACCAGGATGTCTCTAAGGATTTGGGTCTAAATCAGAAAAACAGAGCTGTCATTAAGCAAGACAGACAAGCTGGAAGTGGTGGCTCTCATCTATCATCCCACAAGTTTAGAAGGCCAATGCATGAGGATTGCTTGAGCCCAGGAGTTTGAAAACAGCCTGAGCAACATAGGGAGACCATATCTCTACAAAAAAAATGTAAAAAATTAGCCCGGTGTGGGGTGTGGTGGCTCATGCCTGTAATTCCAGCACTCTGGGAGGCCGAGGCAGGCAGATCACCTGAGGTCAGAGGTTTGAGACCAGCCTGGCCAACATGGTGAAACTCTGTCTCTACTACAAATAAAAAAATTAGCTGGGCGTGGTGGCAGGTGCCTGTAGTCCCAGCTACTCAGGAGGCTGAGGCAGGCACATGCCACCTTGAACTCGTGAGGTGGAGGTTGCAGTGAGGGAGCTGAGATGGCACCACTGCACTCCAGCCTGGGTGACAGAGTGAGGCTCTTGTTTCAAAAAATAAAAAATAAAATAATTAGCCGGGCATGGTGGCATGTGCCTGTGGTCTCGGCTACTTGAGAGGCTGAGGCAGGAGGATTGCTTCAGCCCGGGAGGTTGAAGCTGTAGTGAGCTGTGATCCTGCCACTGTACTCCAGCTTGGGTGACAGGCAAGACCCCATCATTCACTCACTCATACATACATAAGAATAAAATGATAAGGAGATAACTACGGGTAGAACACATTGTAAGGATTTCAGTTTTGGAGATACTGAGTAAGCAATTCCTTATATAAACCTGGAGTTGGAGCAGGGAAAAGAGTCTAAATTGGAGATAGAAATTTGGAAATAATTAACATACAAACGGTATTTAAAGTCATGAGCTGTACAAGATTACTAAGAAAGTGATATAAACAGAGAAGAGGAGGATAAAAACCCAAAGCCTAAGCTCTGATATACCTGAACAATAAGAGATCTGAGAAAATACATATTTAAGAAAATCAAAATCAGCAATCTTGTTTAGACCAATGGGTAAAATGGGTTAAGACATCTTATAGGAACTCCGATTATATACAAAATAAGTATATCACCAAAGAGGGAATCTCTAACTCCTATCCAGACATCCAATACATGTGTAAACTGGGTTACAAATCGAGAATGGGTGAAGGCAGATTTAATATGATTCAGTGAAACAGAATTATATTACTAGAAAAATAACTCGAGTTTAATTACATTGATGGCATGTGTAAAAATCGTATTTACATGTAAAAGGAAACACGTTTTTCAACTTATTAAGAAAGTCTATAGTTACACACAAATGAATACTCACTGGACAAGTTATAATGTCACTCTATATACTAGAAAGATATTTGTATTATTTTTACCTAATGAGCAGTTGCTTTGCATTCTCCCATCTGTTGAACAACGTAACATGGTGCCAACCACACGGCCGCCCACGACAATGACACGTACATCCCGTCCATGAGACTCTTTAACATACTTCTGGAACAGGTATGGTGCTTCATGGCGAATAAGATGGCTTAGATCAGCCAAATGGTGCTTATCTCGAGCCAAGAAAACAGCTTTACCTACAATTGAAAAGAATAAAAATACATGTTAAGTCATCAATTGTGGGCAGATGATACCTATTATCTGAATCTTCTTGTATCACAATCTGCTGTTTCAGAATCAATTACACTTTTTTTTTTTAAGTTTTCCTTGTTAGAACTGTTTTAACAGTGAAATAATACAAAAATATATAAAGACAAGGTAAATAATCTCCTTTTACCACTCCCCAAACTCATGTTTCATGACAAACTAAAATTTATTTTGATATATGTTGTGAGGCAGCGGTCTAGATTTATACTTCTCCAGGTTAGCCAATAATGTCAACCTCATTCACTAGCAAAACTTTTTATCTCTGAATTAAAACGTATGTGTGATATATTATTATACAATACACTAATATACTATATTAGGATATAGTAATATAGCAGTATGTTACCTCAATTTATTTCTGAATTCTCTAGCCTGTTCCACTGCTCTATTTGTCTATTTTTGTGCCAATGGAAGTGGCTGTTTTAGATATATGGTTCTAAATTCCTCCCATGGTGGGGAAGGGAAAGGAGGGATACTGAATCTACGTCACTTCTGGCTGAATCTAGGAGGGCTTGTGATTGCTCCAAACAAGAGAATATAGCAGAATTAATTCTATTATGACTTATGAAGGTAGACCATAAACGGTCACACAGCTTCTTTGTTCACTTTAGCATTCACCGTAGGAGGCCTGAGACTCTTGGCTGCCCTACTGGAGAAGCCAAATATAAAGAATCCAGTCAACAGTTCCAGCTGAACTCTGATCCAGCCATCCCTGCCAAAACACAAAATATGTCACTGTACTCAGGTTGATGTATCATTTTATGCCTTAAAATTCTATCTTAGGCTGGGCGCAGCGGCTCACGCCTGTAATACCAACACTTGGGGAGGCCGAGGCAGGTGGATCACCAGAGGTCAGGAGTTCAAGACCAGTCTGGCCAACATGATGAAACCCTATCTCTACTAAAAATACAAAAAACAAAGTAGCTGGGCATGGTGGCGGATGCCTGTAATGCCAGCTACTTGGGAGGCTGAGGCAGGAGAATTGCTTGAACCTGGGAGACAGAGGTTGCAGTGAGCTGAGATCACACCACTGCGCTCCAGACTGGGCAACAAGAGCAAAACTCCATCTCATTTAAAAAAAAAAAAAAAAAAAAGTCTACCTTAATCCAAAATCATTAGGATATTTTCATATGACATCTTATAAAGTGTTAATAGTTTTACCTTATTCGTTTAAGTCTTCAAACTATATATCTTTAGAGGGGGATGACTGGAGTTAGTGATCTAAGGTCTTATATTGTTTCTTTGCATTTTTTTTAGACAGAGTCTGGCTCTACTGCCCAGGTTGGAGTTCAGTGGCATGATCTCGGCTCACTGCAACCTCTGCCTCCCGGGTTCAAGCCACTTTCCTGCCTCAGCCTCACGAGTAGCTGGGATTACAGGCGTATGTCACCACATCTGGCTAATTTTTGTATTTTCAGTAGAGGCGAGGTTTCATCACATTGGACAGCTGGTCTTGAACTCCTGACCTCAGGTGATCCACCTGCCTTAGCCTCCCAAAGTGCTGGGATTACGGGTGGTCCTTATATTATTGAGGAAGATACAGACAGGTCTAACTTGAGACTCAGTCTAAGTATGTATGTTAAAATCTCTAGGTAACCACTAAACAGAAATAGCTTTTAGCCAAACTGAACAACTCATAGCAGCCTTCTGTAAGTCTGAGGTATCAGGCACCTAACAATTTCCTTCTAATTATTCTTCAAAGTCACTCATATTAATAAGCAAGAATAGTTTCAAAACTATATACCTTACCAACAACTCATACGCACCTCTATGACCCCGCGTATTCTTTACTACCATTGGGAACTCCAGTACTTCTGCTTCATCAATCATTTTAGCAAAATTTTCATGGCCACCTGGTTTGAGCAATAAAAAAATTTAAGACAAACAGCAGCAGAAGTTTTTTGTGATCAATTTTATCTACACTAAAGACAACCAACAGCACAAGGAAGTTGAAGGTAAGAGCCTGATAGCTATCTTTTTTTTCTTGGAGAAAGTATGTATAAGTTGAAAATATAACTGAATATCAGTTTAAAACAATACCTTGTAAAACAAATAATAGCTCCCTTAAGCTATACATATTCTGATGTTTAACTTAAGTATCTTTCAGCTAAACAGAGTTTCCTAATTCTATGCCATTTCTCATGTTTTTATCCTTATTATTCTCCCACACAAATAATAGAAGCCCCAAGATTTACTTTAATATATTCAATTCCCTGCTTGGATTAAGAAACTGAAGAATTAGTTGGTTAAGATCTATCCAAGGTTGAAGAGATGCTGCACACACTGACACACTCCTCTTTATTACCAACAAACACACACACCCCAATTTTTTTTTTGTCTCCATTATTAATCAGAGTTCTTTCTACACTGGGGTAACTCAGCATCCTGGGTTAAGTCTCCTTTCTCACTCTTTTTATTGACCAAAAACAAATGACACAATAACAAAATTAGAGCAAAAATAGATTATAGCTACAAAAATCAGCATGATGAGAGAGAAAAGTTGAGACAGGATAAAGTTCATTAAACAAGTGAAATATGAGAAATTTGTAGCTTTGCAAAATTATGATGACTTGGCCACCAAATTTTAATCCTTCATCAATAGAACAAAGGTAATACTTGTTAATTTGGTTAGCCTTTTTTCCCTTCTTTCCATTCTCATAAAATCAACATTGTACAATCATGTTATAAACTATTAAGATCCCCAAAGCATTAAAAACACAGAATTCTCAACTTACATTAATTCTGTCTCTTCCTATGCAATTGCTAAAAACGGAAACCGTGTCCACGCATGCCATACAGGCTTGGTGAGGGTTGGGGAGGAAGAGTTCCTTTCTTTAAAATATTAACAATAAGGAGAGGACAAGGTTTCCTTTGTAAAGCCTCATTAAATCTCCAAGCATTCTACTGGATATTTGAAGAAACACCTTTATGGAAAACTCTGCACTAATTTAAGTTTGGTCTTTTCCAAACAAGAGAATTAAAGGCAGGAAATACATTAGCAAAATGTTGTTTAGAGCAGTGTTACTCAGAATGTGGTCCTGCAACCTGTGCCTGTATAGGACTTGTTCACTACTGTAATGCGGTCAGATAAATACAAAAGGGTAGGCAGCAGAAGCTTTTATAGCAATCTGGCACTGCTGTGATCGTTTTATTATATTTTACATGAGTATTAATCTACCACAGATTGATCTTTAAAAAAAAAAAAAAAACAAACGAAAAAAAAAACCCTTTTACCAGAAGTTTGAAAGCACTGTTTTAAAGCATACCTACTAAAGTGTTACTTTCTTTAAAAACATTAAAATATCTGAGTTATCAAAATGGTAATGAAGAAAACGAAAAATTAATGTCATAAAATTCTATTATCTTTTACCACACAGGTTGGCAAACTAAGGCCTACGGGTCAAATTTGACCTATTGGCTGTTTTTATAATCAAGTTTCATTGGAACAAAACTACTCATTTGTTTAAGCATTGTCTATAGCAGCTTTCATGTTACAACAGCATTACTGAGGGTTACCAGAGAACTCATGGCTTGTAAAACCTAAAATACTTTTAATCTTGAAAGTTTGTTAACCCTATTTTCCCCCATAATATGAAACAAATCTTAAGATATGATTTGTAATTAGCCTGTCCAGTGTGTTAAAACTGAAAGTCACTTCTATAAGATGTTCTTTCATGTCTGTAAATTTATCCTATTAAACTATCAGTGGTTAATATTTAGGCTATGCATGCTCTTTAGTAGGCTCACCATAAGAGAAAGTATCTGGCAGAGGAACACCATGGCCAGCTAACTCTTGAAATGTCCAGAACTTATTAACGCAGTTCAGGATGGCTTGAGGTCGGTTCATTAACCGGCATCCCATCTTCTCTAGATGGCGCAAAACAGTGATGTCACTATCACTCTGCACCCAAGGGGTTGGTACTCTGACTACCACCACTTGTGGGTAGGCAGTGATTAGCTCTCCATTGATCCGCAGACCTGAAATACATAAAAACAAGGCCAAAACCATTAGAGGGAAATACATAATAAAATAGAGAAATAGTAATATGCCATAGAGGAACAGTAATATGCCAAAGTTTGGATCATAAAATGAAATGTACTATTTTGTTAATATTAAATTGGGATGGAGATATTCCTCTGTAAGAAAAAAGAAAATTTAATTAGAAAAATCTCTGGTTAAAGAAATTATAGTACACACCACTACAATGAATTACCACATAGCCATTAAAAAGAATGTCATAAACATGTATGTTCAGTGATGAACAAATGCCCAGATACATAATGTTGAGTTTTTATTTTAAAGGGCAAATCTGAGAAAAGGTTTTATTTGTGCATACACATAAAAAAAACCTATATGGGCTGGGTGCAGTGGCTCACACCTATAATCCCAACACTTTGGGATGCCGAGGTGGGCAGATCACGAGGTTAAGAGATCGAGGCCATCCTGGCCAACGTGGTGAAACCCCAACTCTACTAAAAATACAAAAACTAACTGGGTGTGGTGGCAGGCACCTCTAATCTCAGCTACTTGGGAGGCTGAGGCAGGAGAATCACTTGAACCAGGGAGATGGGGGTTGCAGTGACCTGAGATCGTACCACCGCACTCCAGCCTGGTGACAGAGAGACTCAAAAAAAAAAAAAAAAAAAAAAAATCTAAGTGGTTTAACAATTTAACTGGCTTCCTATGAATGTGACTGGATGGCAAGGCAAGAAGAGGAAGGTTGAAGAGAAAATTTTAATATTGTGCTCCATGTAATTTCTCTATATTATGTTTTGTATGCTTTTTAAAAAAGTGAGAACATATGTCTCTGTAATGAAAAAAGAAAACAGTTTTTAAGGGAAAAGTTTCTTGAATATTTACCCAATATTCTACTTAGGGAGACCCCAAATAATACACAAAGAAAATATTTATATGAGTTGCTTCTTTTTGAGACAAAGTCTCACTGTCACCTAGGCTGGAGTGCAGTGGCTGGTCTCAGCTTGCTGCAACCTCCGCTTCCTGGGTTCAAGCAATTCTCCTACCCCAGCCTTCCAAGTGGCTGAGACTACAGGCGTCTGCCACTACGCCTGGCTTTTTTGTATTTTTAGTAGAGACGGAGTTTCACCATGTTGGCCAGGATGGTCTCAAACTCCTGACCTAGTGATCCACCTGCCTTGGCTTCCCAAAATGCTTACAGGCATGAGCCACCGTGCCTGCCCCGAGTTGCTTCTTAAACTCTATTTTCATTTAAAATATATATAGTACATATATATAAAAAATATATATAGTGTATATATAAATTTTATGTGTATATATATGCATACACACACACACACACACACACACACACAGAGTAATCCCACCTTGTCTGTGGGGAACGTTTCAAGACCCTCAATGGATGCTTGGAACTGTGGAAAGCCTAAACTGAGAACTATATATACTGTGCTTTTTCCTATACACACATACCTGTGATAAAGTTTAATTTAGAAATTAGGCACAGTAAGAAATAGTAACTAGTAATAAAACTGGACAATTATAACAATTACTGTAATAAGAGTTATGTAAATGTGGTCCCTTTCTCTCAAAATCTTATTATACTGTACCATGGGTAACTAAAAACAGCATGCAAAACCATGGGAAGCAAAACTGTGGCCAGGGAGGACTACTACACTTGTTTAAAACATTCAAACACAAAAATACAGAACATATTCACCTTCCATACAACATTCTAGGTACTTAAGGTTATTAGTACGTATTTTCCCTACTGTCATCTAAGTATATAGATATATAATCACTTAAAATTATTGGCCAGGAGTGGCGGCTCATACCTGTAATCCCAGCACTTTGGGAGGAAGAGGCGGGTGTATCACCTGAGGCTGGGAGTTCGAGACCAGCCTGGCCAACATGGTGAAACCCCATCTCTACTAAAAATACAAAAATTAGCCAGGTGTGGTGGTGCATGCCTGTAATCTCAGCTACTCGGGAGGCTAAGGCTGGAGAGTCTCTTGAACCCAGGAGGCGGAGGTTGCGGTGAGCTGAGATTGCGCCACTGCACTCCAGCCTGGACAATAGAGTGAGACTCTATCTCAAAAAAAAAAAAAAAAAAAAAAAAAAAAAATCAGAGACATCTTTCTGTATCAGAGCATATATAGCTTTATTTCAATACTTTAGAGGTGGGCTTAATGGATTACATTTTATAGATACACCATATGACGAATTCCTTACTAATAACTGATACTCGGCCGGGTGCGGTGGCTCAAGCCTGTAATCCCAACACTTTGGGAGGCCAAGGCGGGTGGATCACGAGGTCAGGAGATCGAGACCATCCTGGCTAACAACATGAAACCCCGTCTCTACTAAAAAATACAAAAAATTAGCCGGGTGCTGTGGCGGGCGCCTGTAGTCCCAGCTACTCAGGAGGCTGAGGCAGGAGAATGGCGTGAACCCAGGGGGCGGAGCTTGCAGTGAGCCAAGATTGTGCCACTGCACTCCAGCCTAGGGCACAGAGCAAGACTCCATATCAAAAACAAAAAACAAACAAAAAAAACCCTGATATTCATTCATCCAGTAAATATTAAGTACTATGTGTCAGATTCTTTTCTGTATGCTCAAAATAGATTGATAAGTAAGATAAGGTCCTTGCTTTCAAGAAGCTTTCTAGTGGGAGACAGACACTATATTAATTTTTATGCTATTAACTTTTAAACACGGTAGTAGTTCTGATGGAAGAAAAATCAGGGAGGTAGAATTAATGGCAAAATTAAGGCACAAACCATGAGCCGAGGGTGTGTGTGCTTAAAAAAAAAGAGAAAGGACAATTCAAACGTAAGGCAGAGCACAAATCACGGGGCAAAAATGTTAACAATATGTGTGTCTGTCTCTGCGACTTGTATTGATGTACAGTAAAAGATATAGCTGGTCAGGTAAAGTGTCAACTATGCAAAGCCATATGTTCTGAACTAAAGAATTTATATCTGTTCTGATTAGGAATTGAGAGTCTGTGCTGGATACTGCCTGCTGATAGTCCATGCCATCCCATCTTTTCATTATTCCCTTGTATGTATAGTAGGGAATAGAAGCATTTTCCATATACTCCTCTGCCAACAGAATTCCATTTTGAGAATCTACCAACAAGATGACAATTATATGAAATTTTGGCCAGGCCTGGTGGCTTACTCTGTAATCCCAGCACTCTGGGAGACAGAAGGAAGAGGATTGCTTGAGACCAAGAGTTCGAAACTAGCCGAGGCAACATGAGATCTTCATCTCTACAAAAAAATACTTTAAAAAATTAACCTGGTGTGGTTGTGTGTATCTGTAGCCCTAGTTACTCAGAAGGCTGAGGTAGAAGGATAATTTGAGTCCAGGAGTTTAAGACTGCAGTGACCTATGATCAACCTGGATGACAAAGACCCTGACCCTAAAAGGGAAAAAAGATTTTTTTGAAGGTGAAAAAAGTAGAAATTATTCTCCAGGAGCACCCATGGATAGGTATGTGGTCATCAGCAGATGTGAGGTTTGCCTGTGGCTAACACCATTCTCCTCACAATCATTTGCTACAAGCATCTTGATATTTTTTTCTTTTCTCTTTTTTTTTTTTTTTTTTTTTTTTT